CATTTTCCTATGTTAGCAATCAAAGAACAGCGACGTCGCTATGATTTACATTGGCTAGACAGATGAATATAACTCCAAAGAAGTTTACCTAGATCGTATATCCATTTTAAGTTAATAAACTGTAAAAAATATCTACACCTTCCTCGATCGTGGCTCTGTAAAAGGCTATTTCTGTGAAGCTGTCGCATTTATAATGAACGTTCGGCTTACCGGTAAAGTAACATCTTGTATGTTGTCAAGTACTATTTATAATATCTTATTTATTTATTTATTCTTTATTGACCATATTACAAAAAATGTCTGGTACAAAAGGCGGACTTAATACTGTATAACATTCTCTACCAGTCAATCTTTGGCCAAACAGAAATTTAATTATGTGGTGAAAAAAATTTAATATCTTCCCGAATAAGGAAATAAAGTAATGTACAGTGGTACCCGGCACTTTGGTTGTTTTGTTTAAGAGAGGGACCGGCTGAAAACCAGCGCTGTGCAGCTGTTCACATTGCGCTGGGACACTCACAGCATCCGCTGAGCCGGTTCCTTTTGCCGGGTGTGGGACACTTTTTGTATATGTTATTTATATTTTATATTGTAAGTTTACTGGCAATAAATGTTTCTATTCTTTCTATTCTATTCATAAAACCAGAGTTTTTCAAAATACAACAAAATTATTTCATCTTATCTTTGATTAAACAATCAAATATTCTGCATTAACAATAATAAAAATACGATTGCATCTCGATTTAACAATATTAAAAAAAACTACGTCATGTCTTCGCGTACAAAATACCAACAAAGTTTAATGGAAAAAATTGTCTACGAAACAGGAACATAGTCTTACATTGACAAACTCGCAAAGAACTCGCTAAACGAACTTTGAAAAGGATTACGATCGGAATTTGGCTACGTTATTGGATCCAAAATTAGAATATCCTAGTCAGAAGGACTAAAGCGATCGATATAGCCCGAGACAATGTACCTTGTCTATGGTTACAGTCCACGCGATAATCGACAAGGAACGAAATGATGTCTATGATTAAAAATAATAATTGATAAGTAGGTGCAAAGTATATAAATTAAAAAAAAAGTAAATTTATATGGGACTGATTATAGATTTTTTACCCATAATCTTTTTAGACTCCATATTTTCGCCACTCTATTATTTAGGAGCTGCTGATACCAAATCACATTCTACTGGGGCTGATGATAAGGAGATTATCACAAATAATGTACCTAAAGTATTTAATTTATTAATTAAGGAATAAAGAGATTACTGCCTTATCTCACCCTACCTCTATTGGTCTAAATTAAAAAAAAATAAGTTTCTCAAGTGACCATTCCATACACAGACGAATCTAAGACCGCATTCGTTAAAATTCGTCAACTCATTTAAACTAGATTGTAGATTACAGAATATAGGGTATATATTCAAGACATAGGTCCGAATACGTATAAAGAAACATATTTAGTATATACATACATATCTGTCACGCCTGTCTCCCATTACGGTAGGCAGAAACAATGGAACGCCAAATGCTTCGATTCAAACAAACCTCTTCAATCTTTTTATACACACTCGCCAGTTACGGGTATTTTTACATATTTAGTGTTATAAATAATACTGATCTCAATGTATTTACATTGTTAAAAAAGGTATAGGTAAGGTATAAGGTATTCAGCCAAAAAGTTGATAAAATTGCCAATAATACTTGTATACAAATACTGATATAGTATATATTGTATTCTAATTCCCCATTTCCTACACGTCAATCAATTTAACTTACCTCGTTATCTGTCGGAAAGTTATTCGCGCGGAGAGACGTTATGAAAGTCGACAGCAGCTCGCTAGCTCTTCGCTCTAACAACGTCAATTATGAGCAAACGCTTGTGCGTAGATACCTATTGGTAATTTGATAATATTACGGAACACGTGGCAAACTGTCATCACGAAAAATTCTATATATTTAAGGCCACCATATTTATTTTTCGCGACTTTGCCACTATATAAAATACTAGCGACCCGCCCCGGCTTTGCACGGGTGCACGTTACATCGCATCAAATTGGAAACCTCTAAAATTATCAGGGTTTCTCTACTGTATTATGCATTTATTATACATATAAACCTTCCTCTTGAATCACTCTATCTATAAAAAAAAACCGCTTCAAAATCCGTTGCGTAGTTTTAAAGATTTAAGCATACATAGGGACGGACAGACAGCGACAGCGACTTTGTTTTATACTAAGTAGTGATTCTATATTTTTAGATAAAATATAAACTATCCAAATCTCATTCAAATTAGTATCTGCGTAAAAAATTAACAAATATCTATCTTCACCAAATTTCATATTTATAATATATAATAATCTCGTAATAGGACCTTCATATAGGTTATAACACTCTCAAAGAACTGACCGTATGGTATTTGTTATGCAACTTAGAATGGCAAACAAGCTGACGGCCCACCTGATAGAAAGTGGTAACCGTCGCCTATAGACATGAGCTGTACCATGGACATAACAGAGTATACTATTACGCCCATGATTCCCCCCATGCGTTGCCATTCCTGAGGACTCGGGTGTTATTCCTCTGTACCCTGTAAATTCACTGCCGATTAAAGCTACATAAAGATTACCTTTGTCTGTCATCATGGCGTATTGAGAAACAACAACTCTAATAATCAACACAAATGTAACGACGTCTCTTACCATTCAATCATCATACATATTGCTCCAAATTTAGACATTTATTTATTTACAACTACCTCTTTGCCCGCTACATCATACGCGTGGTTTTCAGAAATAAGCAAATCAATGAAATAGACGAATTCAAGATGGCGTATCAAAATAAAACATTTACCAGATATTAATGTAAACCTAAAGTAAACTAATGTAAAGTTGATAAAAATGTCAGGTATACATTGTAAACCGCATTCAATTTTACCCAATAGTTTTTACTTGATGCCGGAGCAAACATGCAGTCAGACAACATTTATAAAAATTATTGTTTTGTCATCTATTAGTCTTATTAAGACCACTTATATTATTTTTTCTAAAATATCTCCCATGTACAGACATCTATTATCGCTGTGGATGTCCTGGCATAGAATAGGCCACCGTTACCTTTTCCGTGGGTACCATAAAAGACGATAAAGGGACAGCGAGGGATGAGCAGCAGCGTCCCTATTAAAACATCAAAACCTAACTGCGATTGCCGGGGGGAAAGGGATTGTTAGTAATGCAGACTGAGAATCAAATTGCTAGCAATATACCCAACCAGGTCGACCTTCTCGCGGTTCCCCCTGGAAACTATCGTGGTTAATTCCTGATGAATTCATCATGATGGGCTAACTGGCCTGTTTTCATTCTCATCTATCACCCTTCACTGGTGCTCCGCCAACGTATCCCGTTAGCGCAGGCGGGGTTACCATACCGTTTTCACTCATCAAAAAAAAAACTGCGATTGCCAACCCGCCTGCCAACTACTGGCAAAACCCCCCAAAGGGAAAGCTTATGTTCAGCGGTGAACAGTTAAAGGCTGACATGATGACGATATGACAGACGTCATCTACCTACTATTTGAATATATTAGTAAAATATATGTACCTATGTAACCAAAAAACGATACCACTCTTTCGTTAACAGTCGCATTTAAATACTCGTATGTATAAGGTGTGTCAACATTAAAAATATAATTGCGCCAAACAAGATTCCCGGGGGAAGGGATTGTTAGTAATGGGGAGATTAGTCCCTATCGCTATCAATATACCTTATCAATTCCACCTCCACGCTGTTTCCCCTGGAAACTATCGTAACTAATTTATCGTTGAATTCGTCACGATGGGCTAACTGAGGGAGGGACCAGAGGGAGACTTTGTACAAAAGTCGATTGCTTGGGTACCTCTGTCCCATTCGTATTTCAACCGTGAAGCAGTTGTGTTTGCACAGCTGTGTTTCGGTTTGAAGGGTGGGATATGGCGTGAATTTACTGGGTACAGAGGAATAACACCTGAGTCCTCAGGAATGGAAACGCATGGGGGTTATCATGGGCGAAACAGTATACTCTGTTATGTCCATGGCACTGCTCATGTCTATAGGCGACGGTTACCACTTTCCATCAAGTGGGCCGTCAGCTTGTTTGCCATTCTAAGTTGTATAAAAAAAAACCGACCTGCCTTTTCATCCTCACGAATCATCCCTCACTGGTGCCCCGTCAGTGTATACCAAGGCAGGGTTATCATTCCATTATCATCCATAAAAAAAAAACAAGATTCCCACTCACAATATTGAATCCTTGAAATGTTTATAAAGTCTATACAAATTGCAAATACCTGCGCCCAATACCGTCTGGTATTTTTGTTAACCCTCGTTACGTTTGAAACTTCGGACTGAAAGCCGGGTCCAGTCAATATAGACAAATGTGCGGTGACATTTCACAGTATGTGACCGGTGAAGGTTACAATAAATTAATCATTAGGTGTACCCGGAATATTTTTGTTCCAATTTTATGAAACCTAATACTCAGTATTGAATAATTACGCAAAATTTTGCAGGTAAACTTACAGGTACAGTCAGATTCTTTATTCCATTTACAAATTCACTGAATTTTTTAAACATAAAAGAACATAGGTACAAGGAAAAAGAAACACCAGAGATGTTTTCTCGAACACTCAAGTTATGGAATGAGCTTCCTGCCGAGGTTTTCCTAAGAGCCTACAGCATGGGGTTTATTCAAAAGGGGGGTAAAGAGATTTCTTCAGGGTCGGCAATGCGCGCGTAATACCTCTGGTATTACAGGCATTCATAAGCTACGGTAACCGCTTACTATCAGGTGGGCTGTATGCTTGTTTACCACTTCAGTGGTATAAAAAAAATACCCACAAAAATGGGTATAAAAAAAATAACAGAATCAAGAGCAGAAATGCAAACATCAAAACACTGCATCAACACCAAATATTTCGAGGTGACCTAAAGGATGATGGTAATAATGACTGTTACTCACCAAAGCCCGTATATGGAGGGGATGGTGAGTGCCATGACGGTAGATAGCACCCCCACAACCAGGATAGAGACGCGCATCACCCAGATGATCTCCATCTCGGAAGCGTTCTGCCTGAAGATCAGCTTGTACACGTTCCTGAACAAGCACATTCTTATTTCAGTTAAAAGTTATATCTTGTAAATATATGTCAGTACGTGGAGAGAAAATCCCGTGTGGTCCCGATATAGAATAGGCCATCTCTTCCTTTCCCATGAGTGTCGTAAGAAACGACTAAGGGAGGGCGAGGATAGACAACAGTGTCTTTCTTAAAACATCTCCAAAGCCTAACTGCGGTTACCAAACCGCCTGACAAGCGTGGCAACTACTGGAAAAACCCCCTTTAGAAGGAGGCTTGTGTTCAGCAGTAGACAGATAAAAGCTGATATGATGATGATGTAGTGAAGACAAGAAAACAGTTCTTATACTGCTTCAGCCAGAATGTTAAGATGATTTACATTATCGGAGTTCACGTGTAGCGCCTACAGAAAAAAGAGAATCAATAAAAAACCGTCCCCTTGAACCTTTTCCTGTAGTTTCAATTGGTCTATTAAATTGATTTAGCCTTGAAGACAAATCCCTCACTTCAATATATTAATAAATAATATGGGGTCTCCATTATTTGTGACTCACCGTGCAAACATAGACGACGCACTGAGAACGCTCGAGTCGGCTGAGGACATAACGGCCGCTGACACGGCGCCGAGGCCGAAGAACGAGACGAAGTCAGGAGTGAGGTGCTGCAGCACCAGCGGTAATATCATGGACGTCTGGTCGGAGGTCAGCTCCCCCGTTGGAGACAACTGGCCGTGGTATGCCGTCTCATTCCATGCTAGGGACAACATGATATTATAATTATTACTTTACTACATTGCAACAATTAACGTCGAAAATTTAATAAAGTATTAGAAAGAAAAAAAAAGAGAAAACATAGAAGAGTAGGTCAATAGGATCAACACATTGGGTCTCTATCTGCATCGACTTTGAGGAAAAGAGCATAACGCAAAATAATATACAGTCAATCAACACATATCTGTTAATAACTTGAAAGAAAATGCGCTCTAATGCAATATTACCGGTGGCCTTCGCAATGGCACCGATGAGGACTGGAGGTATGGCCATGAAGATGCACCCGATGGCTGCCACGTACGACAGAACCTGCGCCCGGCCTGCTGTCTTGCTGCTCAACACTCGCTGGAAGTATACCTAAATAACACACCATAATAATTAAAATGATTAGAAAACTATCCCACACAACCGATAATATTTCTGTATAAAGAAATCAAAATTAAATTAATGATTATTTTCAAAAAATTAAAAACACCAACAAACCTGCCATGGAATTCCACCAAACACCAGCAGGAGCCCATAATCCACATAGAACCAATAATATTCTGGATCAACCTTTCCTATCCAATCCACTTCCATGGAACTGAGTGGTTTGACATGTGGGTTCGCCCACGCAAATGGAATGCACATCCAGAGGCCGAGGAAGATGCAAAATAGCTGGATGACATCGGTGTACGCGACCGAGTACAGTCCACCGAACAGGGTGTAAAATACTGCCACACACGCGCTGAAGATGACCGACGTGCGGTGGTCCATGTCGATGATCACTGCCAGTGTAGCCCCTGCACCAAACAATTAAATGATATCAATTATTTTGACATGAAAATGGAATTGTAAATTTGCACCCCCATTCGCGCTATACGCTATACGTCGCAGTATACGTTGGCGGGGAAGTGAAGGATGATACATCATGACCAATTGACCAGGAATTATTCATGGTAGTTTCATATATTTTTAATATAATATAATAAATTTGAAAATCCCGATGCTAATGGTTTACATCGAGTTTTCCTCTTTTATTTCGCATGGAAAGAATTATTGTTTAATATAAACGTAAAATAAAATTTGAGCATTTTTATTTTTTATTTTGCATCTTTATTAAAGTACTATAAAATGGATGATAATTAAATATCTAAAAATATATATATATTTAGGTCTATTGTTTTTATTTTATTAAAAGTACCCGTAACCGGCGAGCGTGTATGAAAAGATTGATGAATGTGGAGGAAGCGAAAGAGGTTTGTTTGAATCGAAGCATTTGGCGTTCCATTGTTTCTGCCTACCCTAATGGGAGACAGGCGTGACAGATATATATGTATGTATGTATGTTTTTATTTATTAATAAAACACGGGAAAATTATATAAATATAGTTTGTACGGATTTATTATTACTTATTAAAAGGTTAAAATTAGGCGACCTGCTGAAGAAAGGTCAAATTAAAGTACCCGTAACCGGCGAGCGTGTATGAAAAGATTGATGAATGTGGAAGAAGCGAAAGAGGTTTGCTTGAATCGAAACATTTGGCGTTCCATTGTTTCTGCCTACACTAATGGAAGACAGATATATATGTATGTATGTATATATTATTAAATTCCAAATAAACTTTAAAAATGAATTAACGCTGTTTTCTTTCTTGATTAGATAAATGGATGCTCTGGATTATATGCTAAAGAAAGTATGGTTCCAAAATGTTTGTTAGTTGGCACGCTAGTTGGTTATGTAAACGGCTATTGCTTATCTATATATAAAGCTTATCGGTTTTATTTTTTGATCCGTGTTGTAAACTATTCCTTTATATTGCCTCTGATCCCTTCCTTTAAGATAAAAATAATTCTACCTATAGAAGTGTACATATATTTAACAATTATTTTCGCCTATTTATAAAATTTTAACCCTACAATTACACATATTAACAGAATTAAATTTAATTGTTTTTTATTATAACCAAATTAGACACTTAAGTTAAATGTCAGAAATGTTAGAAAACTTTAAGCCTGACCGCTTCTAGAGGGTCAGTGATACTGGAAATAACATTGCGTCCATTACACCTGACAGATATACGACGTCTAGAGATGTTAATTATAAATAAACACTCATATCTTCAATTGCAAAAGTAGTCAGGAATACATTACGATGATAAAATCCACCTGAATTTACATGCCACATTGTATTCCTTTCAAATTTTATATCAGACCAATACCCATAACCCATACGAGCCCATAACTTATTTCAAACCCATTTACATAACTAAACTCAGTAGAAACCATGCATTTTTTTTTATACAAGTTAGAATGGCAAACAAGCTGACGGCCCACCTGATGAAAAGTGGTAACCGTCGCCTATAGACATGAGCAGTACCATGGACATAACAGAGTATACTGTTTTGCCAATGATACCCCCCATGCGTTGCCATTCCTGAGGACTCAGGTGTTATTCCTCTATACTCAGTAAATTAACGCCATATCCCACCCTTCAAACCGAAACACAGCCATGCAAACACAGCTGCTTCACGGTTGAAACACGAATGGGACAGAGGTACCCAAGCAATCGACTTTTGTACAAAGTCTCCCTCTGGTAAAGTCTATTACAGCGGCAACGCACGTATAATTTTCCTAGTATTGCAAGCTTCTATAGGATACGGTAATTAATATACCTGGAATTCAGCACGATGGTTTCCAGGGAGGACCACGTCGAGGTCGACCTAACAATCCCTTCTCCCCAGTTAGTAATGTCAGTTGTCGTTATCGAGTCGACCTCCACACAGCCCCCTCGTTAACCGTTGTTAATTCCAAGTGAATTCACCACAATGGGCCAACTGACCTGGCTTCAATGTCCTCCATCATCACTCATGAATGCCTCTATGAAGTATATACATTCCTTATTCATCTCATTAAAAAAAAATATTCATCCCTACAATAAAGAAAATAAATATAAATTTTATTGCTGGTGGCTATTCAAAAGTGCCCCTTGCGAACTATTAAATGAAAAAATTGCTATTTGCAGTCGACGCGAGTTATCTATATTTCACGGTCGGGCTGGCCGCTAAGGGTCGCTCGATGGCATGATTTAATCATTTCCATTTACCAACGGTCCGCGGGGCGAATTTAGATTATCCAGAATATCAGTGTCAGTGAAGAATTTTTAGAATAATGTTACATTTTATGAAATAACAGTAACCCTTCCCTACATACATTTTTACTTTTATTATTACTCATTAAGTTTTAATAACAAAATTGCCGACGTCTGTATAATTAATTAAAAAAGCTAATGAAATAATAAAAAAGTTAATACATGTTAAAAATATTATATAATATAGAAAAATACAGTTTTGCACTGTGCGAGAATACAAGTGGACTGTATGTACGATAAGTTTTTTGAAAGATCTAAGAATGCGAAAACCGACAAGTTGTTTCAAAAGTACTACAAACTTAAAATGACTACCCATAGATTCAAACTTAGTTCATGAGAATGAAAACTTTACCCATCATTGATTATCGAAATGATAGTACCTTTTACAACATATTGGGTATATTGCAGATCACTCTCCATTACTAACAATCCCTATTAAGCATGCTAAAGTTACTTGAGATTACCTCGTAAATGTTATAAGAACTAAGGGTTTCAATCTTGAATCTTCCGACAGACGTTTCAATCTTGAATTGTCTTTTTAAATATTTAAGAACGACACGAGAACTTATCTTTTGCGTAGTTCTTTTTATAAAACAATAATATTAAATTCTAAAACTCATAATAAGGAAGAGATTAAGACAAGTTGACACATACAATTAAAAATAACTTTAATAATAATAACATTAATGATTTTATTGCATAACCGTGATTGTAACAAACTCAGCACTGGAATGTACAATAAAAGTAGGCACGAATTCATTTGTACATTTGGATCAGCATAAACATCTGTGTCTGAACTAGGTTATAAAACCTGTATCTCAGACAACAGCGCTCAACCCTCATTACATAGTATAATATTAGCTCAGAAAAATTTTACAACTACATATGGAATGTTAATTTTATATAAAGTTAATTAAACTAATTATAGCTATTAGTAGTTATGAAAATTGTGAAATGTGCTCCCTGTGTGTAGAGTGTAGTTTGAATGTACACGTATGTACACGGAAGTGTGCGTAAAATTATTTATATGTATACTGTAATATTATTTGAACAATTTGAAAGTTCAACTTGAATTTAATTATGCAATATTATAGAAATTAATATAATTCTAAATTATTTTTTTACGTTTCTATTTTTTTTTTATACAACTTAGAATGGCAAACAAGCTAACGGTCCACCTGATAGCAAGTGGTAACCGTCGCCTATAGACATGAGCGGTACCATGGACATAACAGAGTATACTGTTTCGCCCATGATACCCCCCATGCGTTGCCATTCCTGAGGACTCAGGTGTTATTCCTCTGTATCCAGAAAAATTCACGCCATATCCCACCCTTCAAACCGAAACACAGCCATGCAAACACAACTGCTTCACGGTAGAAACACGAATGGGACAGAGGTGCTCAAGCAAACGACTTTTGTACAAAGTCTCCCTCTGGTAAATTTCGTCTTGCCACTCTCGATTTCGACCCCAATTCAAAAAGTTCCAATTCTAAAATGACTCTACCAACTATAAAATATATCTTATTTTAGCAAAATGAATTCTACCGTACTCTATTCTATTCTGATTGTTGCGTGATGCCGTGAGCTAGGTAAAGCGATATCAAACTTTTACATTGGCAGAACTTTAAGCATTAATAATTCGGATTATTTTATTCATATTGTATCGTACCTTTATTTTGTTCGACTACGCTGGTTTCAGATATAATTTGAAACCAAGATAATGTGACAATTGTAAATTTTAAAACTAAATTTGTAAATCCTATGCAAATACCCTTTATTTATATCTATGAATGATAGTTAGTACTTTCGATATAGTAGGATATGAACCCGTTTACTATAGGTACCAAGTGACTTCTCTAATGACAGTGCAAAGGAGCAAAGTCTACCAGACGAAAAGATACCAGAGGAAGAGGTTATACAAAAGACCTTTGTATGGGCGCCTCTGTTCCATTCGCGTTTCTACCGTGAAGCAGTTTGCATGGCTGTGTTTCGGTTTGAAAGGTGGGCTATGGCAGTAAATTTGCAGGGTACAGAGGAATAACACCTGAGTCCTCTTGAATGACTACGCATAGGGGTATCATGTCAATTCTTTATTGTACACACCAGTTATAAGAATATTTATTATTTATAATATTAATAATTTACTATATGAATAACTTTCATATCATTCGACTACTAATTTCATTGAATATACCCTTGTACTAATATCTAAAATCATGCATCAGTAGAAGGTAATGTATGAGTCGGTTTTTTTGGTCGTCATTTGTTTTCATTATTCTCATTCATTACTAATTCGTAGAAGTATCAATTCAAATACCATTAGCGACTGGGTCGCAAGACATTTTACTTAACTTTTGGGCTGTTCCGTGGGTCGCAGCATAAAAATGGTTGAGTAACAATGCCTTATATCATTAAATAAAAAAAATAAAAAATGCTGTCAGATTGTGAACTTTTTGTAGATCTGAAAGAAGTGTTTTTTAAGGCTCTGTGCTACAAGACGGAGCAGTAGCGTTATCTCCCGACTCTAATAAACCTCTAGACGCGTCACAAAGGGATCCACACAAAAGCGACGCGAACCCTCGTGATGGATGACCCAAATCTCTTTTACTACTTACGTGGTACTATGAATCGTCGCGATAACTCTTAATC